TAAACTAAGCCATAATTAATAAGAAGAGAATTGATATATTTATCGATATTTATTGATATTTATCATTCGAGCCTCTCTTAACTTTTTAATTTTATTATTTATTCTATGCCATAATCGTCAAATACGTCCATGATATTGCAGTTGAGTGTGCTCTTTCAAGCTAGTTTTGCTTCAAAGTGCAAGATTCTTTGTCCTAATTAATCCTTCCAAATGAAAATAGTATCAAACAAAATGCACCCTTCATTGCACTTTACACAACTATACTTTTAGAAGAAATTTCAGAATTGACCAAATATCATTAATATTGTTATGTAAAAAAGTTCTATTATTTACAGAAACTTGATCTGTAATAATTTTATTAATGAAATCAATTGTATAACAGGGATAGAATTAATCAAACTTACGTACCATCAAGTACAACGCGCCGGTATTACGTATAAATGTACGTATAAATGTGCCCTCGGGCACATTTAGTGTTACATTTATTGAGAATGGCATAAATGTGCTATAAATGTGGTTTAGAATACGATTTTCACTATAAAGTTGCGCATTTAAGCTAAAAATGGCGATCTGCCTCTAAATGTGCCACTAAATGTGCGTTCAGAATACCGCCACATTTATCGTGTCATCTAAGGTACATTTAGAGGCACATCTAAAGATAGATGTGAGCTCAGAATACGGGCCACTCCTTTTTCTCGCGTAAAAAATAAATTTTTTCGATAATCTTTCTTTTTATGTGTTTTTCTCTTTCTTTTTTTCATAAATTCCGCTATTATTGAAGAGTTATGTATCTCTTTTGATTAAACGTTTTACAATTAGATGTCTTAAGATTGCATAATTTATGATTACAATTACATTTCCTTATTCTGTTTTCGCATTCTTGCAAGAATTATAATTACAAACTTAATTGCAAAACGTTGACATCAGTGTCACGCGCGGAGTATTACAAGCATAATGTCGGATATAGCACGTGGTTAATCAGCACGACAAGCAGAGCAGTGATTGCTATTTTCTTAATGCTAATTTTATTTTCAAAAATTGATAAATGTAAAAAAAAATAAAACAGAAGAAAAAAAGAAAAATATAAGTAATATATTAAAATATATTAAGAAATATCTTGAGCATTGAGACGAGGAGATTTTTTTTAATGGCTAAACGGCATAGCACACACATATATTACCCATACATATATTCGTAATTTTTCTATGAATTACCGAATTTTATGTGCAAATAATATTAATATAATTATAAATAGAAAACTTAAATTTAACAAATATGTGTATATATATTTCAAAATATATATGTATATACTTACGATATGTATACATTTTTATATGCAAAAAATATTTTATTACTTATTATTATAAAACGCGTAGAAATTGTATAGTATTATACAAGAGATTTTTTTAGAGATTTTGGATAGCCGTATCTCTTATATTAAAATATTTGCAATTTGGTACGTCTTTATCGTGAAATTGCTTTTTTTGAATTTATCACTGTTTATTCAAGACCACCTATTATTTCCTGTTTTGTTTGACTTTTTAGATAACAAACAAATAACGTAACGTAAAAGTAACGTAAATTATAATTATTAATCGCTTTATTAGAATTAAAATATCATCAAGCAACAGTGATAGAGATGATAATGCATACAATAAATAAAATATAAATAATAAAAATATTACTGTAAACTTACGTTCATAATATTTTCTACGTGCAGATTTTTTTTTGTAATTAGAAATATTAATGTTTTTTTACACGATTAGTGATTGACTATTGTATGTTAATTAACTTATCGATCGGTGAGAAATTCGAATTAATAATTTCTATCATTTTGAATATTATATTTTAGTCGGTGATCGAATATGAAGAAAAAAAAAGTTTGTGGAATTTGAAGTTTTCTCTATTAATAAATTCTTTTAATCTTATAATGCAGTTTTCTCATTAACATTTTATATGCTCTTGATTATATATATGCAATTCGATTGCATATCGACAGACAAATTTGTACTATCGACAGGAAATGAACAAATAATTTTCTTATAGGATTCTCGTGCTACTTATTACGCAGGAACGACAAATAAAACATCATAGTCTTGTGCATGTCTTCCCTTTCTCGAATGTTGCTGATGATTGCTGCAACGTTTCATATTCACGTTCTTAACAATGTCACGCGTTTGAGCATTGTGAGTGCAATTATATTGCAATTAGCCGAGATTATCTGCGAAGAAGATGAAACTGGAGAAGTGTGTCACCGACAAAATTAGGGATTTAACAAATTTCGGAAACTCGCGATGTCGATTGCAGGACTATTAGCTGAAAAGGATATGCCAACTTTTTGATCACAACGGAAAGAAGTTACGATCTTAATATATATCTTAAATATATATTTGGACAATCACAATAAATACGAAAAATTTTTTCTTTTTTATTATATTGAGAACTGGAAATGTTTAGAGCATGCAATTTACAATTAAGTGGAAAAACTGGCAGATAAAAGCCAAGATGCGAGTATTAGTGCGCAAACTTATTATTGTTAAATTTTATTGATATATATGCATTAAAATGTGCTTTCTTTCTGGTTATTATTAATTTCAATTTGAAATTTGACTGCAACAACGAATATTGTGTATGTAAAATTTTAAAATTCAAATGTAACTTTTATATATTTATATCAATATTAAATATATTATTATCAATATTCAATAATTTTTATGTTAATAAAATTTAACAATGATAAGTTTGCACACTAATACTCGCGGCTTTTATCTGCCAGTTTCCCCACTTAATTGTTAATACTTTGAGCTTATTGCTGTTATTATTTGCAATTTACCTATAGCATTATCGCGCAACATACGATAATTACAATATAATAATTTTGGAGATAATTTTAGATATATAGAAAAAAAAGAAACATATATTTTGCAATAAAATTATTTCGTATACTGATACAAATATTAATTAGAAATTTTACAACACTATTACATTTCTATTTTTTCTGTCTATAAAAATTATCTTCCAAAATTACTTCCAAAGTGTACAAATGTTTCCCTCTTTCACATTGTATATTTTTCACGATGCGTATTGATCATAATTGCTGCATAATATGACGTAAAGAATATTATACTTTATCATACTTTATAATATTATATTTTAATTAAGAATATTATACTTTACAACAGATTGATAAAATTGATCGGCAAATAATAAAAAATCGTAAATGTAAAAATTCCTTCTAGATAATGCTACAACAGTTTTTTAAATTCAAATATTTATAAATATTCAATATTTTTCATAATTATAAGTTAAGTTGTCTGAAAGGTCAGATTTTTTAGAAGGGATAAATGTCAGTGCAGCATGTAGAGGACTCCTGTGTTTGTTGAGCAGACATGCTATAATTATAATACAATGAGATGGAAACTTTATGACGAAACGGAAACATGTCTTTGCAGTCGATTCGCGAGTTCCATAGTGGCTAGTCGCGTTGAAGTAGATTGGCGGAAAGACAGGTTAGTAAAAACATATCTTTACGACTGGCCGAGTGAAATGTTCAGCTTCAGATTTGAGATAATCAATTCGGATAACAATACGAGATAACTATTTCAATTGAAGAATTGAAAACCAAAAAATATAAGACTGAATTAATGTTTCTCCATCGGAATTATACATTTATACTGTTAGAAAATAAGAATATATCAAACTAATTAATCAGCGTTTTCATTTGTTATTAGTGTGAGCATTACGATAAGAGAGTCATAATTGCATAGCAATTTTCCTTGATCCTTTTAAATATATAAAAATAATATCGGAGTTTTCTCTCTCTCTCTATTCACACACATCATCACCATGGCTGTATTAATACAACAGTTAATAGCAGGATATAAATATATTAACGAAAATCTGGCAGGTGAGTATTTCGTCTTATCATTTACACCAAATATTAAATTTAGAATTAAAGATATTATGAAATATAAAAAAGCAATAGTTTGTGATGTCGCTGAATTATAAAAAATTAAATTTCTATATAAGAAAATTTTAATTCATTATAGATTATTTACAAATTTTGTTTATCATAAATTGCAAGTAATAAATACATAAGCATAAATGAATACATTCTCTTTTTTTACTCGTATAAAGAAAAACCACTAACACATCATCACCATGGCTGTATTAATACAACAGTTAATAGCAGGATATAAATATATTAACGAAAATCTGGCAGGTGAGTATTTCGTCTTATCATTTACACCAAATATTAAATTTAGAAAATTCTAATAATCGCGGGCTAGTAAAATTTACAAATTTTGTTTATCATAAATTGCAAGTAATAAATACATAAGCATAAATGAATACATTCTCTTTTTTTACTCGTATAAAGAAAAACCACTAACAATTTTAAGAGGAGTATTATATTTATTTATTTTAATTTATAAAATCGCTGTTGGTATATATTCTTTTATCATACATGACTCTCTCTCTCTCTCTCTCTCTCTCTCTCTCTCTCTTTCTTAATTATCAGTATACAATTAACATAAAACAATTATCAAATCTTAAATCACTTTTCTGCAATGTACTCATGCATGCATATACAACATAATAATACGTAATATAAGGTTATTTAATCGTCTATTAGAACTGTATTATTTGTCGTTTATTGTAGAAATACTAAAGAACTACATAAAGATTACGGAAAAAGAAATTCCACAGTACTATAACATTTTTCTTAACACATGCATTTTGTTTATTTAGTATCGGAATGCATTTTTTTTCGACATTGGATTCCTCTACTCTAATAAACCGTTTAACAATATAATTTTAAAACAGTTTAATAGTAAAACTAATAATAAAATTAATACAAAAACATCCATTTTAATTCAATATCCAATAAAAATAATTTATTTTCTAATCAATAAATAATATACAATAAATATAATTTTGATGTAAATATAATTAATTTTACGTTATATGTTAAGTATATCTTGAGGAATTAATTTTTTCATTAATCTTCTGGCAAAAAAAAAGTTAAATGAATATATATAAATATATATCTTTATACAATCGCATTATGAATGTAAAACACATAGAGAATCAATATAAATTTTATGATGATATTAATCATGTAATTATACAAACAGTTACAATATATTCTCATTCTTAAATTGCTTTTAAATATTTAGAATAATTATCTATGTAAGCAATTTTATCTTTATTTACAATATGTATAATTTATTAGTAATTATGTATAATAACTAATGTTTAATTTTTTTATATTGCAAGATCCACGTACCCAAGATTACTTTATGATAAGCACGCCATATTGTAGAAATACTAAAGAACTACATAAAGATTACGGAAAAAGAAATTCCACAGTACTATAACATTTTTCTTAACACATGCATTTTGTTTATTTAGTATCGGAATGCATTTTTTTTCGACATTGGATTCTTCTACTCTAATAAACCGTTTAACAATATAATTTTTAAACAGTTTAATAGTAAAACTAATAATAAAATTAATACAAAAACATCCATTTTAATTCAATATCCAATAAAAATAATTTATTTTCTAATATTCAATAAATATAATTTTGATGTAAATATAATTAATTTTACGTTATATGTTAAGTATATCTTGAGGAATTAATTTTTTCATTAATCTTCTGGCAAAAAAAAAGTTAAATGAATATATATAAATATATATCTTTATGCAATCGCATTATGAATGTAAAACACATAGAGAATCAATATAAATTTTATGATGATATTAATCATGTAATTATACAAACAGTTACAATATATTCTCATTCTTAAATTGCTTTTAAATATTTAGAATAATTATCTATGTAAGCAATTTTATCTTTATTTACAATATGTATAATTTATTAGTAATTATGTATAATAACTAATGTTTAATTTTTTTATATTGCAAGATCCACGTACCCAAGATTACTTTATGATAAGCACGCCATGGCCTTGTATAGCTCTGCTTGGATTTTATATATATTTTATTTATTATATTGGTCCGAGGTTTATGGCAAGAAGACAACCTTTCCAACTAAACAGGATATTGCAAATATATAATGTTTCACAAATTATAATAAATGCATACATATTTTATAAAGTAAGTTATGTTATACTTTTAATTAATTTTTCTGATTACATTTATAAAAAGAAAAACAGACTTTTCTATCATTTATCATTTTAAATCTTTAAAAATCATATGATTTGACGACAAAAAAACGATAAATTCATAGTTTAACAAGATATGTCCCAAAAAATGTTTCTATCTTTGCAAGTTTCTTGATACGTTTAAGAATAATTAATGTTTCGGAATATATAGGCATTTTTTTTACTATAAAAATTAATCTTTTTAATGTAGTACATATGTGGCTCAAGTAACATATTACTAATAGATTGTGCATTAATTAAAGTTTATCAATATAACGCTTGAAAAAGCATTCTATGTTTTTTAATTATATGTATATTTAACAGGCATTAACATTGGCATGGTTACGAGATTACAGTTACATTTGTCAACCTATTGATTATTCGTACTCACCAAGAGCAATAGAGGTAATTATTAGAATTTAATTAATTAATAATTAAATTTTTAAGTTAGAATTACCTAATTATATGTTGTCCATTATATTTATTTCAAAATACTATTCTTCAGACAAAAAAAAAGATAACGACAATATTATTATAGCTATTTAGCTAGTAATAAAAATATTAATATTATTACATCGATAATTCGATCTAAATCGACATTAGATGTCATAAATATCTTTAGTTTTATTTTTCGTTTACATAGAAATAAGAGACAAGAAAAAAAGCGTTTATATCTGCCTGCTAAATAGATCACCAGAGTGGTATGGTATTATTTCATGGTTAAAATACTGGATTTGTCGGAGACAATTTTTTTCGTGCTCAGAAAGAAACAGAATCAAGTGACCTTTCTTCATGTATATCATCATGTGGGCATAACAATGGGCACTTGGGGTGCCTCTAAATATATGGCTGGCGGTCATATTACTTTCTTAGGTATATATCAGAAAAATTAAATTTACGATTGTCAATGATTTGTGCTTCTCAGTTAAAAATATGCAGTAATTTTACAGATATGTAAACGTAGAATAATAATTTCTTATTTTTTATCTTTTTGATATAAAAATTGTATTTAATATGTACGGAGTGTTTACGTTATATATTGGGTTATATTAAGAATCGAAGAGTTGTATTCGTCAGAAATGCACGATTGCTAAATGAGTCTTTTTTGTAAACAAGATCTTATATTTTGCGGTTAATTAATTACAAATATTGTATTTCAGGATTGCTCAATACATTTGTACACGTAATAATGTACACGCATTATCTGCTATCGTCTATGAAAATAGATACAAGTTCATGGAAGAAGTACATCACTCAGTTGCAATTGGTCCAATTTTTCCTGATTATTTTACACTACGGACAATTAGCCTGGGTGAAAGATTGCGGCTTTCCACTTTGGCCAGCATATATAATGATACCACAGAATTTCTTTATGATTATACTATTTGGGGACTTTTATTATAAAATGTACATTAAAAAACAACCGGCAATTAGAGTGGCACTGAGGAAGACGGAAACAAATGGCATTTCTGCTGACGTCTCGAAAGAAGGATTGAAAGAACAATGAATTCAAAGTATAATGTGTTGTTTAGTACTTCTCTCTTTTGCTCCCTCTCTCTCTCTCTCTCTCTGTTTCTCTCTTTCTTTTTTCTCTGTCTTTCTCTTTCTTTTTTCTCTGTCTTTCTCTATCTTTATTTATATATATATATATATATATATATATATATATATATATATTCTTTTTCCTTTTTTTTATTTTTAGCACTAATATTAATGTATTTCTCAGAATTAGTTAATTCGAAAAATCTTTTATATGCCGAATATTTGATGTTATATTCTTGTAACACACATTTTTTTAAACCTTTATTTTGATAAATTGATTATTAAGTTAGTATGCTCGTTACATATAAATATATTTCAATATATGTAAAAAAGTATACACTGTAAAGTATAGCTTTTTGATATCTATATTACAGAGCTATTTTCCGCAAAACTAGTAATATTCTTGAGTTTGTGTATAATGCAACAATCAATTAATCAAATCATTTTTCGGAATTACACTTAGTCTGTTACTCTAATATTAAATTCTAATTGTAAATATGTATTCTCTCATCGCGATAGTATCGTACAGAATTTTGTGAGTTAAAAAAAAACAATTTTTGTGAGATAAATACAGAAATGTGTTGTCTGAAATAATATAAGCAATAGGAATGTAGCACATACATTTATAAAAACTTTTTCATTTTTTTATTTTTCTGTCATAAAAATATGCACTTTACATTTTATTTAATGCCATTCTTCAATTGCAATTGTATACTTTGCATTTGTTCAATATTTTTGTGTAATAAGGACAATATTAGAATTTTACTTATACACTGTCGGCCAAAAGTTTGGATACACTTGTCTATACACCTATGATTTATATTTAACAGGACTTCCTTACTCCCCAGGAAGCTTTTTTGGTATTAATCAATTAGTTTATTCATGACTTATATTAAATATTTAAATTTTATTGATCTCTAAAAAAAATCTAGCTTCTGTGGAAATAAGAGCTTGACAGAAAGATTCGAACTTCCTGTTCATCATCTGCTAGGGAGTTATAGCAACAATTACAAAATACGTGGTCTTTTCTAGAATAAAATACCGTTAATAAATTAGTAGAAAGAATGCCACGACTTGTAAAAGTGGTCATCAAAACCAAAGGTGCATTTTTTGATGAAAAGAAAGTTTAACAACTTTTTGTTAAAAATGTGTTAGATTCAAGTTATTTTTGTTTTATTTAAATTTTTTATAGTTTCCTTATTAAAATAATCATTTATCTTTAATGTAAATACAAACTACATCGATAAAAGTAATTTTTTAAATAATATCTAGTCTTCTAATGCTGTATCCAAATTTTTGGTCGGCAGTGTGTATATAATGCAAAGTATATATATACATACTGTATTTGAATATATTGTAATTGGAATAATGTAAAAACGCAAAAATTTCAAGTTCAGAATCACAGAATGTGATTGTAAGTTTTCATAATAATTTTTATTTTAGATAATTATTTTCATATTTTCAGCAATTTGAAATAAACATTTACAATATCAGAAATGTTTGCATTAAAAAAAAACTCTAATATCGATGTAATTGAAATACCGTCATTATTGATTATCATCATATATTATGTGTGAGTGATATAAATATCATAAATTATCATATTATAAATTATATATATCATATTTATAGTATAAATAAAACGTGAAGTGCATATTTTTATGGCAGAAAGATAAAAAAATGGTGAAATGGTGAAATTTGTATAAATGAATGTGCTACAAATTCCTATTGCTTATATTATTACTTCTAAATAGAAATTTAATCAAATATATAAATTATGGTACATATATATATATATTATATAGATATGGGTATGCGTACATTGATATTAAACTATAATGTATTTTATGTATTCTATCTATATACAATACTTAAAAAACATTTAAAAAAATTATATATGTTTAATGAAAAATTACTAGTTAAAATTATATAAATCTTGTATCCCATCATATACATATATCTCTTTTGGTCATCATTATGTCTGTTTGAAGTGTCAAAAAACATTATTCATTTTTTCCGGCGATATTGCGATCTAAATATTGCTACAATGTTACTTTAATAATAATTAAAATGCGACTTCGTCAAAAATTTTACAAACAATATTTAATAAAACATAAAAAGTTACAAAATTAAATTATATAATTTAATTCTGAGAACAATATAAAAAATTTGATGCGAAAAAATGACCAAATAAGCGTTTACAGTTTGTCAGAGCTATATAAAAAGTTTGTTGTATATTTTTGGACCATCTTCGATATCGAAATGTACCGGTAGTCTTCTCCTCTCTTTTTCTTTCTTTTTTTCTCTCTTCTGTGACTTATCCATTTCTCGTATGGTTGTATTAATCTTGCAACATTGGTTTCTTGATTTTATTATCCGGTCGATCGTGAGCCAAATAATTAATTGTACCCGTGACCGTGGACGAAATGCTAACGGCCTACTTTTTTTGAGCACATATACCAAATGGGGACGAGCGAGAGAAAAAGGAGAAACAAGGTGGGGAAGTACCGAAAGAATCGCGTATATGCACAGCAAGTTCCGTTTTTGTTGTAAGGTGCCGTTATATTTGATCTTGGTTCACGATCTCGAAGATCCGCCCATAAAAGATCATCACAATTTCTATTTCAGTCGCTTCACAATCGGACAGAAATGCATGATTAAGAATGTTTCGCTCTCTTTGTTAATAAAAAGTACATACATAAAGTATCTTGAAGTTATTTGTGTGTCTAATATATCATGAATAAAGACAACTTTTTTAATAAATAAGGACATAAATAAAGACAATTTCTTCTTTATAAAAACAACTTCTATAAAAAAATTATGAAAATTGTAGCAAATTTGAGGCATCGAACTAACGATATTATGGCTTATACAAAAATATACTTTTTAACGGTATTTTCAGCTTGAGTATGCGTGTATGTATATAATATTAATCGTGAACGCATAAAAATACAAGATAAAATCATAAAAATGGATGTGAACGTAATTCAGTGACAATAAAACGTTGTTTTTAGTTTCATAACTATTTTATGACTGTGTCGTAGGAGCTCATAGAAGCAAAAAATTCGATAAATTTTTAACTTCTTGCGCTGAAATGAATATAACATGTTAATTATTATTTCTTCTAATTGTAAGTGTTTTTTATTTTAAATGTAGGAATAACGTACGTAGCATCATCGTCCATTTTACTAGATGAAGTAAGTATGCATTTCAATCAGCAAGCAATATTCTACTGTGTCGTATTGCAGACAAATGCGTTTATAAATTCTTATTAATTTATGACTGTATATGCAACCCGTCTAAATGATTTATAGAATTGATTTCAAGTTGAAGTTTGCTGCTTTGGATTGGTTTGGTAAAAAATTGCTTTGGATGGTTGAATACGTGCACCTGTGAATTAATTGCCTCCACAAAAGGTAAAAAATTGAACGTGATGAAGTAGAAGAGGTATATTTTTTCTTGTCTCTTTGTTTTTGTGACAAAATCTTTTTTCAAGTTTTCAATGCCAATGTGTTTAGAATATTCCAAAATGTCGATAAATCATATTCTTAAAAAATGTCTGTATGTATATATGTATGTGTGTATGTATATATGTACGGAATGTATATTGTATAACCTCTAACTTCCGCAATTTTTGAGATATTGGGCTAAATTTTTTTAAAATTAATAGAGTATTATTAAAGGATGATTGATATTGAATTTGGTGAGGCTCGGTGAAAAAATTCATTTTTTATAAAATTTTGAATTTTTTGAGAAATGTTTGTATACGTTCTAACTTTTGCAAATTTTTAGATATTGAGTTAAATTTCTTTACATAAATAAAGTATCATTAAAGGATGGTTGGTATTGAATTTGGTGAGGATCGGTGAAACGGTTCATTTTTTATAAAATTTTGAATTTTTTGAGAAATGTCTGTACACGCTCTAACTGATGTCGCAAATTTTGAAATGTCGGATTAAATTTGCGTTTGTCATCAAAATAAAAAATGCGTGCAAATTAGAAAATAGCACATTGCTTCTTTATCTTTTTATTTCGCTCACAAAGCTTCCTCTATGAAGAAGCCAAAATTGAAGAACCCGCTTGCTTTAAGGAGCTTAAGCTTTGTAAGCGGAATAAAATGATGAGGAAGCAATGTGCAAGTTTCTAATTTGCACAATTTTTTTATCTTTTTTCCGATTTTTAGGATTACCCAGATTGCATTTTTCTTCTAATCACAAGAAATACGATGTAACTTTATCACCTTTAGTATGTAAATCTGAATCCGCTAAAATCTTGTCAAGGATATTCTGACCATTTAACCCACTACAAAGAGTACATAATCCTACTTCTCTGCTATAAATCGTTAACTTACTTCCTAGTTAAGAATGATGGAAGGCTATATCGAACATTCCAGGTCGGTTTTATTCCTAATACCTCCGGGCACTCGCCCCTCTTACTAGCCTGGTTGCCATCAGCGTCGTAATTATTTAACCTTTAACTTATGATGGCATGCCAGCTGGTTCGTGTATAAGATCGTTTCCAACAAACAATAAATTTTTGTCAGCACGTCAAAGAGTGCGTGATGCGCAAGAGAATTTTACGACAGTCTCCCGTTATTTAGATAATATGCGGCGTTTGTGACTTTGAACTATTTGCGATTTTATCTGAAGCTTCAAACTATCTAAAATTTCAAATTTATATATGTACATATAATTTTTTTATTAATAAACCAGTCAATATCATAAACTTTTTAGATCTTTTAAATATTTCTCATAATTAATGGAATATATATACAGAATAAAATCATAGTGATAAAATATTTTTTTCGCTATAACAAATTATTATAAAATGAATCTGATTCACACATATTATTTATATCATTTTATCGCTTTTTGCACATTAACTGTGTGTTTAAAATAATTAAATATACAAAATAAATAGATAATTTTTTCGTACTATTAACGTCCGGTCGATATTCTTGAATGTTCAACATTGTTGCAGTAGTAAAATGTTGCGATGGCGTCATCATCTAACGGTGTCATCAGTCATGCTTTCATTCTTTTGTATAAACGTTAGGACATAAACGCTTCTATATGTTTTCCAATTACAGTAACACATTGAAATTTAACGTCAGAATGCGATATTTCCTCGCTGCGAACTGCAATAGCCCATCCGTCTGATAATTGTAGCGTCGTCATTAGTGGATTAAGTCACACATTGACTGATTGTTTGCAAATAAAAACGGGAACTTCTGGCATAAATTCTAGATTTTCATGTGTGTGTGTGTTTTCTCTCTCTCTCTCTCTCTCTCTCTCTCTCTTTTTCTACTTATTAGCTCGCTTATTCCGGACAAACAAGAAACTGACGAAAAAGATTTGCGTTCTCAAATATACTAATCTTTATTTTTCTCGCTTGTTTTTTTTAAATAATTAATGTCTTCTCTCTTCCTCACTTTATCTATTTCCCGGTTTTACTGCTAGTAATAATATTTGAAATACATACACACACACAGGCTTGCCCAACTTTTACTACAGTATAATCGATCTTCATGGCCGATAGACATACATCGATTGACCATCGCATTTCTTTTTTTAAAGTCAATATTGTCTCTGATAATAAATTCAATATTATAAATTTAAAAAAAAACTGTAACTAATAAAAACTATAAATTTTATTTTTTATCAGTTAAATATTTTTTTAGTTTATAATTAGCTGGATAATGCGTAAGATACTTTATGAACTTTAAAAAATGCATCAAAATCAATATTGCCTCTGATAATAACTAGTCGAAGGTTTGTCAACAATTTGTACCATTTTGATATCAATTCAATCAGAATTTTAATTTTACTGTAACATTTGATTTTCAACGTTAGTTCGACGTCATATCATTATATATTTCTGACTGGATTATATCCAAAATTTTAAACTATATCATGTATAATTTTTACCATTTGTAAATTTGCATCATATTTATTTGTGATAATAATAAAAAAATTACTTACAATCAATTTAAATAATCTCAGATATTACAAAACTTTCAAAAATAATAAGTCGATACATACACACACACAGGCATGCCCAACTTTTACTACAGTATAATCGAATTTAAACTATATCATGTATAATTTTTACCATTTGTAAATTTACATCATGTCTATTACTGATAATAATAAAAAAATTACTTACAATCAATTTAAATAATCTTAGATATTACGAAACTTTCAAAAATAATAAGTCGATACATATAATGCACGAAGATCAACCTTCGACTTGTTTTCCTCCAATTCAACAAGCTCTCAACCAAACGTCGAATCAACATTTAACTGACATTATATTTCTAACTGAGTAGCTTAAGAACATGCAGTAAAATACTTCAGTCCTGTTTTGGTTCTATATATATATAT